ATGAATTCAGGGGGACACAATCAGACTATAGGCACTTGGAAATCTTTTGGGGGAAGGGGAAGTGTTTTTCAGAAAACACTGCTCAGCTCACCCACCCAGAAAATTGTACACCTGAGCACTAGCATTCTGTAGGTGGAAGCAGGGGAACCTCAGAAGGTCCCCAAGATTAACATTGAACTTTAACTTGCACCTTACCCCACCTATTGTACTTCCACTCTGGGGCTGCGGCCATTCCATTTTTTTTCTCCCAGTGACAGGAGAATGGTGCGTGTGGTTAGCATGTGGCAGTGCCCAGCCATGGGGTAATGGAGAAAGCCCAAGTGGCTTTGTCCTGCTGCCTCCTCCCACCTTTCTTGGTAGTGCCACTCTGAGAACTGACCCTCCCAGGGACCCTGCGGGCCTGAGTGGCACCACCCTCACCTTACTCCGCAGGCCCTTAGGTGGTAACTACCTTTCACTCCTCCATCTTTTATTGTCTTGGGAAATTTTATGGAAATAGGCTCTCATCTCTCCCTTTTTCTTCTTTCATGTGGGTTAATGCATTTATTTCTCTGCTGTCTTTCAAAGGGGTTGAGAAAGTGATAAATCAGTGTGTTTAAACTTCTGTTTTTGGGGTGGGGATTTAGCTCAGTGGTCCGCCGCCTGCCTTGCAAGCGCAAGGTCACGAGTTCATTCCCCGGTGCCAAAAAGTAAATAAATAAATAAATAAACAAACTTCTATTTTTAACTGACCACGGCATCCACATTTTTCAGTCCCACTGTTATAAATGTTGCCAAGTGCAGTGGCATACCTGTAATCCTCGCTTCTTGGAGGCTGAGGCAAGAGGATCGCAAGTTGGAGGCCAGCCTGGAGAGTTTAATGACATCCTATCTCAAAATAAGTTTTAAAAGGGCTGGGGATATAGCTCAGTGCTGCCTAGGTTCAGTCCCAGTACTGCAGAATAAATAATAAGTGAAAGGGCTGGGGATTTAGCTCAGTGGTTTTGCCACCTGCCTTGCAAGCAGAAGGTCCTGAGTTTGATCCCCGGTACCAAAAAAAAAAAGTAAAAAATGTCATAAATCTTGATTAGATGTTCAAGTAGTACTATCAGTGCCATTTCTTTTTTTTTTTTTTTAATTCTTTTATTGGTACATTTTAGGTATACAATTCATTTACATTTATCATTGGGTGCTTGTATCTGTACATGATGTATCTTGGTTCTTATTTTTTCCCCATTACCTGTGCGGCCTTCACCCCCTCCACCCTTCCCTATTTACATAGATTTTGTTTCCCTTTTTTTTCTTTTCTCATAATTTTTCCTTTTCCTTCTTTCCCTTTCCCCTCCCACCACCCCTACACCTTTGGACCTTTTCCTATTTCAAATTATCAGTTATTCATTTTAATCATTTTATCCTTATTTACACTTTCAGTTTCTCACACTAGAGAAACTATTCAGTATTTACACGTGTGTCCTATTTATTTCACTTAAGAGGATGGCCTC